ATCATACGCCGCTATTTAGTTGTTTTATTTTCTACTTTTCAGTAATTCATAATTTGTGAATTCGACAGTACCAATGCTGCCACTGAAAATATTTGCTTTAAAACACTATCAGTAGGTCGTTAAGGACGATACTACTCCGACCGTCCTTTCCCCCAACCCCTACCCTACACCCCCCCCCAACCCCTACCCTACACCCCCCCCCCCAACCCCTACCCTACACCCCCCCCCAACCCCTACCCTACACCCCCCCCCCCCCCCGTGAAAGCAGCCTCCTCTTAGTTACCTCCCCTAAGTTTAAAATCGTTTCAAACAAAATTATCTGCCCCTAATAGCCGTCACTAAACCCGGCTCCACGAATGTAAATATTTAGCGTGAACCACAGCTCAACAGACCATGTAGGGGTGGGGGCGGTAGGGAGCGCGCTTACAGCTTGTTTTCTAGCGTCTCCCAGAGAATTATATATATAGATTGTAGGCGAGTTCCTGGAAAATTTGAAAAATTTCAGATAAGCTACTTAAACATTGCTGCCTTGTAGTTTGTTTTTAGTTGGACAAAGGCTATGGAAGCAAACCCAAAAAGAAAAGCAGGCTGAAATTGGAGTCAATGGCCTCAATGACACATGACTAATTGACACGTAATACTTAATTGTGTTGGAGGGGGATTCCTTCCAACACTAAAATTAAGAATGCATAAGAAGAAATTTAAACTACTCAACAAAAATATCCGATTCCAGTACATTTTACAATCGTTTAGATTTTTTTTCTGATTTTTATTTTATTTTGGTGACATCTACTCCCCCAAATGGTGTCACCCGGTTCGTCTACTCCCTCTCCCTCCTTGTAACGCCAACGCTTTACAGACGTAAACAAATTCTGTTCATATTTCAATCATGTATTTAAAAAAAAGACTTTTCTTTCATCAAAATAACGAAGTAAAAACATATTTGTGTGTTGGACACAAAAACAACAACAGCGTTATCGCGTGCGACTAGCTACAGCTGCCCACTAAAGAAGGCCTACACCAGGGACGCACCCACGCTAAGAGTTTTATTTTATTTTTTTAAATAAACCCTTTTCTATTGAGGCGAGCGCCGTGAAAATGAGTTGGATTACTGTGGACTCCAGGTCACGTGATGTTTATTCGGAGCCCAAACGGCATCCGGTTTAATGGTGTACCGAAAGGGACGGATCGATACCGGGGATCTATTTCCAATCACGGATCGAAGCAGAGTCAATCGGATGGTGTTGTTTTTTTTTTCTCTTAAACGCTGATCGGAGTTGAGATTTGTTTTTATCTGCGTGAGTTCTGACTGGGTTGAAGTAGCACGTGAATGACGTCATGAAATGTAAGCCGTCGCCATCCCCCACTTTTCTGCTGATGAGGACATCAGGAGGAGAAGGTGGGGGTGGGATAGGGCACATCCAAGACGAACCACCAACAGAGGCGTAGCGACCCTTCCCGGCGCCCGGGGACAAACTTTCGATTTGCACCCCCCCCCCCAAACTTTCGATTTGCACCCCCCCCCCCCTCGAACTTTTCATTTGCACTTTCAATTTGGCGCCCCCCCCTAAGGTCGGCGCCCGGGGACATGTCCCCCCCCCCGCCCCCCCCCCCCCCGCCCCCCGTCCCCCCCCTCGCTACGCCTCTGACCCCAACCAGGAAGCCTAGAACTAGGCAGGCCCTAAAGTGGCGCCTACTTAGAAAGGGTAAAAAGAGGTAGACCAAGAAACGCGTTTTAAGGATGACACTATACACAGAAATTAAAAATTCGCAGAGGACTCAGCACACTTTTGTCGGCGGCCCTTACCCCAGATAGGGGTGAAGGACAGTGACGATGATGATGTTCTAACCTTAACTAAAACTTTCCCCGAATCTTCTAGTATTATTTGTCGGCGTGGTCGAGTCGGTAAAGCTCATTGTTGCTAAACCAAAAAGTCTCAAGTTTGAACCCTCAAGCAGATGAGACTCGTTAACTGGGGACAGCCACTCTTCTAGGAGAGACAACTGCAAAATCAAAAAACTGCTGCCTTGTAGTTTGTTCTTGGTTGGACAAAGGCTAGGAAGCATATCCAAAAAGTAAAGCAGGCTGAAATCGAAGTAGCGCATAACCAGTTGACACGTATAATTAATTGTGTTGGAGGGCATCCCTTCCAACAATAAAATTAAGAACGAAGAAGAAAAGATTTTTCATTAAAGAAAGTTAATAAAATAAAAATAAAAATTACTCTCCGTCTCTATATGTCAATAAACTTGTTTTTTAATCATTTTTTTCAACTTAAGAGACACATTCCTTTCCCCATATCTCACACCATCAAATCAATCTAAACACCCTCCTCCATATTTTACGAGTGAGTTGATTGGCTGACGACCCATTAACACGAGCAGACGACTTGGGTAAATAATAATCAATACTTAGTCACGATCATTGGTAATTTGTTAGAACATAGTCATTTCGAGGCGAGTCGGCGTGGTCGGGTCGGTAAACCTCATGGTTGCTAAAGTCCAGAGTTCAAACCTTCGGCAGAGAGGCTCGATAGCTAGGAACAGCAACTCTCTAGGAGAGACAACCTCAAAATCAAACAACTTCTGACTTGTAGTTTGTGCTTGGTTGGACAAAGGCTACAGAAGCACATAGAGAGAAAAGCAGGCTGATATTGGAGTTAACGGCCTATATGTCGCATAGCATGTTGACACGTATTACTATCATGTATTGGAGGAAAATCGAAGCATTACAACAAAGAACGATGAAGAAGAAGAAGTAATCTCCAAATGGCTGATGTGACCACTAATATCGCGATGTCCACTTGGTCTAATTTGTTTACCTGGCCAATCACCAACTGGTGCGTCATTAACCCGGGGGTCACAGGAACATTGAGGGAGCCGTTAAAGCTTCTGGTCCTTCCGTCACGCGCTACCCCCCCCCCCCCCCACACACACACACAGGACTGACGTGTCAGCTAATTATCATTAATCAGCGTGAGTACACCCTAGACCTGCCCGCGGTCTGACACCTACCATTCCTGATGATGTGATACACAGACTCAAGCGAAATGTTTTGTCATACCATTGTAAATAGCGTGTTATTAACATAAGAAATTAAATGATAAAACAATTCGGTAAATCTGATATCACTCCAGATTTCTGGGACATGGGGCGCCGTACTAGCCCAGAAGATGAGGACGTGGGGCGCCGTACTAGCCCAGAAGGTGAGGACGTGGGGCGCCGTACTAGCCCAGAAGATGAGGACATGGGGCGCCGTACTAGCCCAGAAGGTGAGGACATGGGGCGCCGTACTAGCCCAGAAGGTGAGGACGTGGGGCGCCGTACTAGCCCAGAAGATGAGGACATGGGGCGCCGTACTAGCCCAGAAGGTGAGGACGTGGGGCGCCGTACTAGCCCAGAAGATGAGGACATGGGGCGCCGTACTAGCCCAGAAGATGAGGACATGGGGCGCCGTACTAGCCCAGAAGGTGAGGACATGGGGCGCCGTACTAGCCCAGAAGGTGAGGACATGGGGCGCCGTACTAGCCCAGAAGGTGAGGACATGGGGCGCCGTACTAGCCCAGAAGGTGAGGACATGGGGCGCCGTACTAGCCCAGAAGGTGAGGACGTGGGACGCCGTACTAGCCCAGAAGGTGAGGACGTGGGGCGCCGTACTAGCCCAGAAGGTGAGGACATGGGGCGCCGTACTAGCCCAGAAGGTGAGGACGTGGGGCGCCGTACTAGCCCAGAAGGTGAGGACATGGGGCGCCGTACTAGCCCAGAAGGTGAGGAGGTGGGGCGATGCACTAACAAAGATTTTGAGGACAAAAGGCGACATACTAGTCCAGATTTCTATGACGTAGGGCGCCGAACTGTCCCAGATTTCTAGGACTTGGGGCTCGGTGTAAAACCCGGAATCTCAAACCAAATAATGTGACCTCACTTACTGTGTTCAAAAATTCCAAGCAAACAACCCATTATTTTAATACTAAAAAAATAGAACAGTATCATTGTATTTTAATTCCAAGATCGAGTTCGCAACTTTTGATGTCTAAAATTAACAAAGCATTAACCCTAAGCAGAGTGTTTATTTTTTTTTTTAAACTTCCTATTAACCCATTTAGTACATGTTAATGTAACTGTATATTCCACTTGTTCTTACGTTCATTGTCCTATCGGCTATTCAGTCCTTCTCCCTGACTAAAAACTTATTTAGCTTAATTTTAATGTAACGGTATGTTCAACTTTTCCCTACATTGTCCTATGTGCGTATGTACTATTTACTCCTACACCCCCCCCCCCCCCCCCCCCCACCCCCACCAAGGCAGCTCTCTAAAGATTTTTCATTCAGTTTCACAACATTAGCCCGGAGAAATCAATAATGGGACGCAGGCCTCGTGTCGTGCCGGCAGTATCCGGCCTCACGTCCTGCCGGCACTATCCGGCCTCTGACGGTCCCACATAGTAGCTGTGATTTGACCGCGTCTATATCACGGTGCTAATGCACCACGTTGTGATTATGCAACGTTGTATATATGCTTGATCAGCGAACAACGATAAAGCAATGTCGCGAGCAAACTAAACGATTCACCAATGAAATGGTCGCCATGTTGTACTCTAATCCCCATAACCTATTTTGTATTCTCCCCCCCCCCTTCCATACCCCTCGGTTTAAATACAATTAGAATTGTGACATACAGTTTCTTGCTGATTATAAAAGACATTTTTAAAAAATCTTATTATAATTATAATTTAATATATTTTAAACCAATTACGGCTTACGAAATGTGTCAGTACGTAGACAAAAATAGCACGCAAATATTCCTAAAATAACAGCTTTTAAAGCGAAGGTTTTAATTTGTAAAATAACTAATGAACACTAATTGTTATACGCCTATTGTTTAAAATATCAATGTTACACAGGCAAAGATATCCCAAGGCTTTAAAGTTTTTATATTTGGTTACCCAACACAGCAAGCTTAAAGCTAAACCTGGGCTAAATTCCAGTATTTACTCACCGATAATGCCAGAACCGATGATGGAGTTGATGAAGTTGAACGACGTCATGGGGATCGAACTCCGGGGCTTCCCGTCGTCCTTCTCCTCCATCAGCCCCCGGGTGTCGCTAACACTGGACGTGTCAGAGAAGTCTGACATGGTCTGAAACACGGCAGAGATCAATAATAAAAATAAACAAAAATATCTCCAAAATTTTGTCAACTCTAGCGTAGTAGAAGTAGCCTCCTGCGTTAGAATTGTAGAACATCCGGGTAGTCGCTTCACCTCGGGGTCATTTCCGGTTTGTCGAGGATAAAAAAAAATATTCCGAAAATTGTGCCGGGATGCTGGTTTTGATTTGAGGTGGGCGGGGGTTGTTTAGGTCGTGATTGATCTATCGATGAGCTTAACATTAAGGCTCTAAACGAGATCTCTTTTTTTTCTAAATATAAAAGATATTTATATTCTATTTTTTTAACAATCGCTTTTAACGAAGAGGTTAGCATATGCATAAAACAAACTCGTAGCAACATATGGGCTTTATATATTTTTATTTTTATTTACAGTAGAGGATGTAGTTTTAGAATTAATTAGAGGAAAATTGTTATGGTCGTGTATGTTGGGACGGTTGTCTATCAAGTAACCAGCTGTGATCGCTACTATGTGAAATATGTAATCAGCATATAAGTGTTATCTTTATTACCGAGCGCTAAGCGAGCTATTTTAGTTAGTGTGCGGGTAATTACGACTTTATAATTACAGACGCGTCTAAAATTCGAGGACAACTGACAATTCACCATCAGCGAAATTGTGAGCAGGAATTAGATACAAAAGAAAAGTTTGTTGTGCTTGATATTATAAGAATAGTTGCAGTGTTCGTGTGTGAAATATGTGTACGGTACTGAAGAGCTCTTTGATAGGAATGTGTGCACGTGTTGAGTGGGCGTTGTCCACAGCTGTCATTAAAGAATGCGTTTGATGGTTTAGTCTGTGCGTGCGGGTGTATGTGAGCTTAATTAGGGATTTGTTATCTTCAGAGAGGCCGTAGAGGGTAAGGATTAAGTACGGATAACAGTCTGCTGTAAGTCTAACGTAGGATTAACAAAATTCAGCGGGGTAGAAAAATGTAAGGATTAAGTACTGATAACATTCTTGTTTAAGCCTAGCAAAGGATTGACTTCAATAGGATAGAAAACGTAAGGATTAGGTACTGATAACATTCCGGTGTGAGCCTAGAAGAGGATTGACTTCAATAGGATAGAAAAATGTAAGGATTAGGATTAAGTACTGATAACATTCTAGTGTAAGCCCAGTAAAGGATTAACTTTAATAGGATAGAAAAACGTAATGCTTAGGATTAAGTACTGATAACATTCTGGTGTAAGCCTAGCAAAGGATTAACTTCAAAAGGATAGAAAAACGTAAGGATTAGGATTAAGTACTGATAACATTCTGGTGTAAGCTTATCATAGAATAGAAAAATGTTATAATTAAGTATTGAGCAGCATAGTGTAATCCTAACATAGGATTAACAAACTACAGTGGAGTACAGAAAAATAAAGATTAGGATGTTCAGACAACCGGGTGAAGCCCTAATCTGATAAGTCTCGACATGAAACGATTAGGTCTTCAATCCTTCACCAGCGTAAAACAAAAACCGTTGATCTAAATGACAGATGTAAACCATACAGTAACATATGGTTGGATAAACAACAGGTAATAACAAAAAGTTATCGAAAAACAAAATTTCTAGTGGATAAACAACAGGCAATAACAAAAAGTTATCGAAAAACAAAATTTCTTGCGAAATCCGGTAGATGTTTACAGTAGCGTAGCGAGGGGGGGGGGGGGGGTACATATGTCCCCGGGCGCCGACCTTAGGGGCGCCAAAATGGGTTGGAAAATGAAATTGAAAGGTTGAGGGGGGTGCAAATTGAAAGTTTGAGGGGCGGGGGGGGGGGTGCAAATCGAAATCTTGAGGGGGGTGCAAATCGAAAGTTTGAGGGGGTGGGGGGTGCAAATCGAAATCTTGAGCGGGGGGTGCAAATCGAAAAGTTTGTCCCCGGGCGCCGGGAAGGGTCGCTACGCCTCTGGATGTTTACGACGTGTATTCGTCATTCCATCGTCTAGCTAGGTGTATCCCTCAGTAGATCATGTAGATGCCATATTTACTTGTGTATATGAGTTCATTAAAATTGATTGCACAATAATTAAACATTATTCGAACATCGGGAATGATCAGCTAGGATTCAAATTCCTTTTTTTTAATCATAGAGGCTAGCTAGGAATATAATGAGTGTAGACTTTGTGACTTGATGTACCCCAGATAGGAATACAATGGCTTCATAACTTGATCACATTGAATAGCTTGAAATAAAATGGACTTAATCACAGGGAATAAAGCTGGGAATATAATGGGCGCTAGCTTTATAACTTGATCACAGGGAACAGCTAGGAATACAATAAGTGCTAGCTTTTTTGGCTATCACAGAGATTAGCTAGGAATGCAATGGGTGCTAGCTTTATAACTTGATCACAGGGAACAGCTAGAAAAACAATAACTGCTAGCTTTTGTGGCTATCACAGAGATTAGCTAGGAATGCAATGGGTGCTAGCTTTATAACTTGATCACATGGAATAGCTAGGAATACAATAAGTTCTAGCTTTTGTGGCTATCACAGAGATTAGCTAGGGATATAATGGGTGCTAGCTTTATAACTTGATCACAGGGAATAGCTAGGAATATAATGGGTGCTAGCTTTGTGACATGATTTCCGCTAGCTATGAATGCAATGGGCTGTCATTAATGACCACTGAGGGTGCTAGCTTGGTGACTTTTCTGCTGATGCTCAGCTAGGGAAACAATAAAATGTGATCACGCCAAGGCGTGACACAAAACGTGATAGGCGTGACCAACGACGTGACACAGACCTGACCGCACAAACACATGCCACGCAAACGTGACACCGTGATAAAATCATAACATCAGCGTGACAAAACGTAACATTCCCAGCATTGTAGTGGCAAAAGCATGATACACCAAGGTCAGATCTCTGCTAATGTGGCAGCTTCCGGTATAATCCAGACCGGATTTTATGCTCGGCACGGAATTAACATTTCCTTAAAATAAAGAAACCGTGATATTTTTGTCAGTCAAGGCCATATTTTCTGAATCCATGTTAAGTAACCAACCCTGGTGCTAAGGGAAAAATATGTGTGTGGTGTATTTCCGGGATAGAAAATTCTATTTGAAAAATATACTTTGGATAACTCGTCTTTAACAGAGATTAACTGGCACAAAGGTCATCTCAAATTTGCCTCGTAGCTCAAAACAATAATTTTTATCACGTAGGTCAATTGTCATATGGGTCATCTGTCACATAGGTCAACTGTCACATAGGTCATCTGTCACATAGGTCATCTGTCACATAGGTCATCTGTCACTTAGGTCATCTGTCACATAGGTCATCTGTCACATAGGTCATCTGTCACATAGGTTATCAGTCATGTATGTCATATGTCACGTAGGTCATCAGCCACGAAGTCATCAGTCACATAGGTCATCTGTCACGTAGGTCACCGGTCACGTATGTCATATGTCACGTAGGTCATCTGTTATATACATTATCTGCCACACTGAACATAAAACAAGTCATCTGGTAAAATGGCTTTGTCTCATATGTAATTTCTCAGGGTAGTTCAATCTGTCACGAAGGTCACCTGTCACACAGGTAGCCTGTCACATAAAGTCTTCTGTCATACAGCTCCTCTGTCACAAAAATCATTTTTCACAGGCCCTAAGTCATATAGGTCAGCATCCAAATGCATCACAAATAACACATCACTTAACATACAAGACATACGTCAAATATGATTAGATCAGCCTTGGTTAAAAACATGCATATGGCAACACATTGTGTTAACACACCTAATTTAAAAAGTTAATTGTAAATACAAATTAACGCATACAATTCTACCAAGTCTAAAATTAATACCATACACACACCATTAATATATCACACCATTAAAATATCACGAAGCGAAAAAACCAGAGGATTTAATAAATCACAATAATGATGTGGAAATAAAATCCTTGGACGAAGTGAGCGGTTGTCAGCCGCTTGTACAAATTAGCCACGCATGTCTGTCCATGGGCAGGTCGATTCCTGGCCGTATCCAGGACACGGTATCGATCCCCGATAGCATCAATTTGAAGACCGGGGGTAAGCATTAATTATGTTGTTCTCGGCATGTTTGCGGTATCGGGGTCAGGAGCGTGTTCACTGTGTGTGTAGGGGGGGGGGGGGGGAGGATCAGAAGCATGCTCACTAAAGGGTGGGGTGAGGTCAGGAGCGTGCTCACTAAAGGGGGGTGGAGGTCAGGACCGTGCTCACTAAAGGAGGGGGGAGAGCTCAGGAGCGTGCTCACTAAAGGGTGGGGGGGGAAGAGGTCAGGAGCGTGCTCAATGTATGGCGTAGGACAAGAGCGTGCTTACATATGTCGGGGGGAGGGGGGGACGTCAGGAGCGTGTTCACGGAAGGTGATGGGGTGGAAGGTGAAAATAAAACGAAGTCGTCTGGACTTTTCCTAATTTGGGGGTATAACTTTATACGAATGAGGGGGGGGGGGGGGTAAGAAATTTTTAGTTAGTCCTGGGCGCCTAATTCCGAACTATTACCCCCCCCCCCACACACACACACACACCCCGCTTATTAGCAGGGAAAATATTTGCATGCATCAGGGACTCTTCTTAACTTAAGGTTGCTATGATTACGACCGCCATCTTAAATAAAACTTATTTGACGTCTCAAGGTTAAAAAAAAAACTAACATATATGATATTATTGATCATACAGTCATGGATTCTTCTCTTACTAACTAACAGAATCATCTCGCTAGTTTTTGTAACTCTCTTAATTTTCTTAACTTTGTTTGGTAATTTACCATTAAAAGTAATTTTAAATGTAGTGGTGTTTCATGGAATTACAAACAACATGAATGGTTCTACAATAAATTTAACAATACAAACATCTATGCTTATATCTATCAACTAACTATTGAAACCAATGACATTTCTAAACAGTTCATCTACGACACTTGAGATACCGTACCTTATCCCCATAACAAATACCCCCCCCCTCCTCCCCCATTTCAAACAAACAT